TCAGTCAGTCAGTCAGTCAGTCAGTCAGTCAGTCAGTCAGTCAGTCCAGTCAGTCAGTCAGTCAGTCAGTCAGTCAGTCAGTCAGTCAGTCATATAGTGCCTGTATATTTGAACCCTGATGTAGTACATAGTTACTATTATATATAGTAGGTCTCAATCCCCACTTGTTTCTCCTATAAATACCAAGGTATGAATAGGCATCAGGTTTGTAGCTCATCTGACATTTGATGCCCACAGCACGAATTTTATTCTCAAGATCATAGACCTGTTGTTTATCTGTGAAGTCAGCATTGTACACACAGATCACATGTCTGTAATTGTAAATGGTTGGATCATAAGCGCTTATCTTGGTACTTTTTCCTAAATGTGCTTTTGCTGTTGCCGTGGCAATAGCATCCCAGGCATGGTCTGCTTTAAAGCCTGAGTCGAGGTGTATCAACCATTTACCATAAGTAACATGATGTGCCTTGGCCAAGTCAGATATTGTATGGTAGTTGATTGGACGACCAGACTGTTGTAAAAGTTCCCACTCTTCCTGTAGTCCTATGACATCTGGTTCATACGAATCATCATCTGAACATGGGCTTTTTACAGAAATCCAACCAACACCAGTCTGCCTGGAAAGAAAACTCAATTAGGTCAATTATGTGGCAAAATTTCATATGCAGCCTTGAAAATCAGTTTACATTTCAAAAACTAGAATGATCTGATAAGGCCAGAATTTTATTATCCCATGTTTTGTGAACCCACCGAATGAACAGGAGCCGAAAATGAAATAAAAATAAAATTTTATTTCAGCGTAATTTTCGCGCCCGCCGAATTGTAAGAGCAAAAACTTACTAAAAAAAATTATTTTTATCTTCATTTATTTTCCGCCCGCCGCATAACAAATCCAAGTTGAATTTTCGTGGGAATATCATAATCAAAGTACTGAAGTCTCGCGCAGATGAGAAACAAGATTATACATGGAATAAAATTTTATTTCATTTCTTCTCTCCGATCAATGATCTCACTTACAATTCTTTGAGAATCACACAAATCTAATGGAAAAAAAGAATTAATTTTATTTTTTTTCCCGCCCTCCTCAAAAAATTGTCCTTATAAAATCTTGAGAAACAAGGAATAAAAAAAGTCTGGTCTAAATGGAAATAAGGAATTGATCATTGGAAAATCGGAGAGGGGATGATTGATAGAAACTTTGTTTCCCAGTCACATAATGGTTGCTGTATGGGAGTCTTTGGGATTAACATTAAATAATGTATTCAATTTGCTGTGTTTTGTGTCATGTTATGGGAAGAAAATTGAAATTTCCAAATGTTTATTTGTTGAAACTTTGCATCATCTAGTCATTAGAGTTTGTTTTGATACACATTCTTGATTGATCCAATAATGGAAATGCATTGGTAATTTGTCTATAATAATAATAATAATAATAATAACTTTATTGCA